TGACGCCAATACCATTGTGACGTCACAATACAGTCATGGCAACGTTCTGTTTCAAAGACTGTCCGCTGTAACTGCAACATGGCTGATACAGACGAGGGAGATACAGCCAAGACGGAAGATGTGTTTAAGGAGGCCCTGCAGGTGAGCTCTTTGGCACACTACGCACGTATCCAGGCTCACGAGGCAGATCTGAAGGCCCGACATGCCATGGCCCTAGCCGAGCGGGCTATGTGTGAGGCGGCGTCTGTGAAACAAGTTGCCGAGAGTCTCACGCACACTGCGCGCGCTGTGGCCAAGATGGCACTTGAAATTTCACTGGGTCCAAACGGATCGCATAGACTTTTCCCGGACCATCCTTTGTACAACTTCCAGGCAGAGCTGGACCGTCAAGATTCAGAAACCGAACGGCAAAGGAATTATTCCGCCGAGTTTCAAGAAGACATGGAAGATCGTCTATTGGATTCGACAGGGCAGAAAGTCCGGTATTACAAACCGAGGACCTCCAGTTCGTACGGAGTGATCGTGGCCAATACGGCAATACAGCCCCTGGGCACGGTCGGTACAGGGAAAGGTACACAAACACTGGGGACTACCGCCTCCACGCCCATCAAGTACACGGAACCTTTCCCGGCCCAGCGGTCTAACAGCAAGGAAACACTACCGCGAGAGATCGACAGCTCGCATTCCCTGCCAACCGTGTGGGAGGACTCATACCAGGGACCTCGAGAGTTTAAGCGCGTGCCATACACAGAAAAAAAGTCAATTCGCAAAATACAAAGGAAGTTGCAGAATATTGAGGACGAAGAGGGGGATGATAATGAGGGTCAGGCGGGTGGTTCTAGTCTCAGTGACAAGCGGGGAGGTAGCAACAGCAAGGAGAAACTTCTACAGTCCGTCAGGTTCAGCGAAACATTCACTACAGACGGTGGTAAAAAATAGCGGTTTACGCTCCAAGAGTCCATCAAATTCAGCAAAAACATTGAAAAAAGACGACAGCACAAATAGCGGTCTTATTGTCTTCAAATATTAACACCTAGATTGGTCAATATATAACCTTTTAAATCACGCTTCTTTCCAGCATTAGAAGTGAAAAGTCATCGGCTTTTCTCTGATATGTTTCTCTAAGACATCATTTTACGGGAAATAGCAGATTTTCAATAAACTATTGTTAAATCAAACATGCCTAGATCTTCGTCAGGGGTATTATTTTCTAATTGAGTAAATGCACGAGAAATGCTTATTTTTCACTCTAGGCCTATATATAACCATATTGACTTGCAATTGACCTTAACATTCTCCTGACAATATCTGCACTGATCGAATACTAGATATTGAGTTTGGGCCTTAAGTGTACTCTGGTTTCTGAACCAAGCCATTGTCCTCTAAGAACAATATCTTTTGCGTTCTTATAAAGTACATATATTTACATCCATGGAATCAGCACTGACACTAACTGTGCAAGTCGGTATTAAAAAGATGCTCTGTGTATATGCTTAAAAGATACAGGAAATTCCAGATTCCTACCATTGACAAGTTATTAAATATTGCTAATATGCTGGGTCCTTTTCTCTTCATTTCTACTTGAACAAGCACAAATACCTGCACCAAGGGGGTCATAACAGCACGATTTTTTGTGGGTTTGTTTTACACTTTAATTTTCCTATCTATCTAAATCGGGTGGCTCAGTGGATAACGCACTCGCCTTTCACAAAGACGGCCGGGGTTTGATTCCCCGATCGGATGTACAGTGCATGTGGGTTTTCTCCGGGTACTCCAGTTTCCTCCCACATTAAACCCCACGCGCGCTTCCATCCGGGCCAACAAGAGTGATTAACATAAGCAAACTCGTTTCACAATTGTTGTAAAATAAGTAAAGATACAGGATGGATCAAATATTATTAAATGTTCCACACCAAGTTGAATTTAAAGAAAACCGTTTTGGCCCCAAGAATAAGAACAATGGATCAGCACATTGTTTGCACGCCACATACATGCCTAAATCTTATGATAGTCAAAAGCATATTGAGAGTGGTAATCTAACACTGCATAAATATAACTTGCTGAAAAACATTATCAAAGTCCTATTAAGCTTGTATTTTGCTCCTACAGTATGAAGAAAAAGGTTCAGCACCTTGTTTACACTCCGTATAAATGCCTTAGCCCTATATGATCTAACACTGTCTGAACATTCTTGTTCAAACACTTAAACCTGAAGTAGGACCCGACGTCAGGTGGGTGACTACCCCTATTCTCCAAATAGGCAAGCTGAAATATGGAGGACTTTTGGAAAGACAGAGTTGCAGTGGCTTTGGTTTACAGCCTTTAACACCCCTATTTGATGGTGGCTGATGGTCCGTATGTTTCTTATGAACGTGTCAGGTCATTTTTTCGTTAGAGGGAGAACTTGTGTACAGTCGTTGTGTTTTAAGAATGCTTTAGACAAATCAAATAACACTGCCAGGATCTGGTTGCTGTGGCGACCTTGAACAAGATCATCTATGGTGAGAACAAGATGGGCACCGTTGACTACTAACCTCCAAATATAATCGCCAAAAAGATGCATACTGAAAACACTTTTTAGCCCACATCATCTGATGGTGGGCTTTTCAAATCACCCTGCGTCCGTGATCCGTCGTCCGTTGTCCGTCGTCTGTCGTCCGTCCTTAAACCATTCTTGTTATCCGTATTTCTCAAGAAGTGCCAGAGGGATCTTTCTCAAATTTTATATGTAGGTTCCCCTTAGTTCCTTGTTGTGTAGGGCAACTATTGAGGTAGCAGAGTACAGTAGAGATTGCTTGACCCTAAAAATAAAGGGCATGTCTCGGATAAACATGGATAGCGGATTCATCCTGCACAACACACCTACATATATATATATTTATAAACTACATTTTGAATACCTTTTTTTAGAAGAATGTTTTTTTTTCAAAAACTGATTTCCCCAGATTTGGGACTTGTTAAAACCATGGTTACCACATCAAAAAACTCCAAAATATGCAAAAAATATGATTTTTAACCCAAAATTTGACCCCCGCAAGTGGATTTTTTTCTCTTAAAAACCTGTCTGAAACTAAATATCGCCTACTCGATAACAGAAATACTCACGTTTTAGCACAGGTCATTCCGGTGGATTTTTCACAATATTTACACATGTGCTGAGTACGAAAATAGACTACATGAAAAGCTAGCTTTCGTTGGGTAGACACAGATTTGTAAATGCCCAAATCTGTAGTCTCAAACCAAATTCGATTTTTTATTTTGAAAAATTATGAAGCCAACATAGTCCACTTCATCATGTATATGCCAATTTTAGTGCTATTTTTTTATTTTCATTTTGATACATGTTATATTACAGGGGTTATTCATTGTATAAAAAATCCATGGCCACCGTACGCTACTGTTCTCTGCTACCTGAGAATGATCGGATAAACAACATGGCCGACAGGCAGCCATCTTGGATTTTGATAGTGAAGGTTTGTTACCGCTATATCTCGGGAAGTACCTGTGGTATCTTTTTAAAATTTTATATGTAGGTTCCCCTTGGTCCCTAGTTGTGCATGTTTACTTTTGGGACTGATTGGATAAACAACTTGGCCGACAGGCATCCATCTTGGATTTTGATAGTGAAGGTTTGTTACCGCTATATCTCGGGAAGTACCTGTGGTATCTTTTTAAAATTTTATATGTAGGTTCCCCTTGGTACCTAGTTGTGCATGTTTACTTTTGGGACTGATCGGATAAACAACTTGGCCGACAGGCATCCATCTTGGGTTTTGATATTAAAGGTTTGTTATCACTATTTCTCAGGAAGTACTGGAGATATCCATCTCAAATGTTATATGTAGGTTTCCCTTGATCTGTAGTTGTGCGTGTTTATACTGATCGGATGAAGAAAGTGGCCGACAAGCAACCATCTTGGATTGTGACATTGTTATGGCTATTCCTCAGGAAGTACTAGAGGGATCTTTCCCAAATTTGTTATTTAGGCTCCCCTAGGTACGAATTGTGCATATTTTATTTTATTTTGAGAATGATTAGAAAAACAAAATGGCAAACAGGCAGCCATCTTGGATTTTGACATTGAAGGTTGGTTATCGCTATTTCTCAGGAAGTAGCAGAGAGATCTTTCTTACATCTTATATGTAGGTTCCCCTAGGTCCTTACTTGTGTATATAAACTTTTGAGACTGATCAGATAAACAAAATGGCAGACAGTCAGACATCTTGGATTTTGACAGTGAAGGCTTGTTATGGCTTTTACTCATGAAATACTGGGGTTAGTGCTATTTCCCAGGAAGTACTGGAGGGTTCTTTCTCAAATTCTATATGCAGATTCCCCACTATCCTTTATTGTTCATGTTTACTTTCGAAACTGATCAGTTAAACAAAATGGCCTACCGACAGCCATCTTCGATTTTTGACATTGAAGGTTTGTTAGTACTACTTCTCAGGAATAAGTTGAGAGATCTTTCTTAAGTTTGATATGTAGGTTCCCCTTGATCCCTTGTTGGGCATGTTATATTTTGAGACTGATCATAAAAACAAAATGGCTAAAGGAAGAACTGAACAAATCTTTCTCATATTGCAATGATCGATGCTATTTCTTTCACATTAAGTACTGTACTAGTTAAGTACTGTACTAGTAAATATGTGAAATGACAAACTCACTTTGAAGGCTGGCTTTCATACACATCAGTAATAAGTTTAGATCAAAAGTTACCTCAAGGTGCATTTACTGTTAACATGACTCCATCAACCAGATTAGAGGAAAGAAGAGAAAAGATCGAACTGACAAAGAACTAATGAAGATGGTCGATGGTGGGCGCCAAGATCCCTCTGGGATCTCTTGTTGAGATATTCTGATCACAAGCACTTTCATTTTCATTTGATATGACCCAAATTATTTTTTTCATCTGAATAGAGTTTGGAGGTTAGGTATGAAAGGTCACAAGGTCATTTATATGAGATATTGGTCATCTAACAAATCATAAAACAACAACATGTTTGCAACTGATCATTTTAATATCATTCTACTATAATGTAACCTGTCTAAAATGACAGCTGGACAGGATAATCAGACCTTAACATAACTCCCATCTTACATATTTATATGTAAAACAAAATCCAAAAGCCTGCTGTAGTTTTAAAAGAAAAGTCTGGTCCATAGGGTGTTCTGTTCAGCCAAGTTTTCCAGTAGGATGATAATGAAGAGACTGTTACAAGTCAGTAAGCCTCAGTGTTAATATATCAGTGTTCTGTTCAGCCAAGTTTTTCAGTAGGATGATAATGAAGAGACTGTTACAAGTCAGTAAGCCTCAGTGTTAATATGTCAGTGTTCTGTTCAGCCAAGTTTTCCAGTAGGATGATAATGAAGAGACTGTTACAAGTCAGTTAGCCTCAGTGTTTCAGTCCTTTATCCAATTACACACGTCAGTCTTTGGTTTAGCGGTGAGTGAATATTCCCACTTCTGGACTGAACATGTAGGGCTTAGTACGGTTTGGTCCCCTGAAAAAACAGATGTTTAAGTATAGGGCAAACACTGAGCAAAACATACATATAAATCCTTCCTTAGGTTACTTAGATTGTGTAAAGGTCAGCTATTGACAGAGAGATGAATGATTAAACAGGCAAATAGAGTTTTAGTAACTACCAAGTACGTTATCTTTGTAGATCTCCAGAGGATCTTGTGGTTCTACCTGATTACCCTAGTAAATACTCTTTCCTTGAAAATCCCCTCTTGACCCTCATTTTGTGTTTTACCTACCTGATTACCCTAGTAAATACTCTTTCCTTGAAAATCCCCTCTTGACCCTCATTTTGTGTTTTACCTACCTGATTACCCTAGTAAATACTCTTTCCTTGAAAATCCCCTCTTGACCCTCATTTTGTGTTTTACCTACCTGATTACCCTAGTAAATACTCTTTCCTTGAAAATCCCCTCTTGACCCTCATTTTGTGTTTTACCTACCTGATTACCCTAGTAAATACTCTTTCCTTGAAAATCCCCTCTTGACCCTCATTTTGTGTTTTACCTACCTGCTTACCCTAGTAAACACTTTTACCTTGAAAATCCCCTCAGGACCCTCACTTTTTTTTTTACTTACCTGGTAACTCTAGTAAACACCTTTTCCTTGGAGATCTCCATGGGACCCTCACTTTCCATGTTTTGAGCCTCAGTCTCCAGATAGATATCAAAACACATCATTAAACGTTGCATTTGATTGGATAGAATCTGGTCATGTGATTTTTCTTTCATCAATTCGTGGTAATGCAGATTGACCTCTTCCTCCATTGCCTGGGGGATAAGAAAAACCCATTATTGTAGTTTTCTGTATTTGAGAGTTATCCATATAAGTGTTCATGTATATGGTTACCTGTGTAGATGATCTATTGCCAGTAAGTACAAGTTATATTTCATAAAACTTTACCCTGTACACAAGACCTAATACAAAAGCTACCTGCACAAAACTCTTTAAAAACAGTAATTCTTGTTCCCTGCTCAAAGCTTAGCATTTAGGTTAAATGCAACAACTGGTTTACAGGTTGTCAGTATAATGTAATCGGATGAAATACTTTGCTTGGTGCCTTAGGTATGGTATTTCAGTGAGGCAGCACTATAAAGTCAACATCAGAGCCTCACTATTGCCAGGAGGCAAATACACCACATACCGCCTGATACGCAGACATACATTACAGGCACAGAGGAATGTCTTTAAATTTTACCTTAATAGCAGTTAATAGGTCACTAGACCTACAAAAATGTATACACCTGTCTTTGAGTATGTTACCTGCATATGAATGAACAATCCATCTATGAGTGTATTTCCTGTATTAAGTATATCACCTGTATACGATTATATTACCTGTATATTACTTTTGTTTAAAAGGGTATACGTCTGCAAGTATTTTATCTGCATATAAGTATATTACCTGTATACATGTGTATCACCTGTATATAAGTACATTACCTGTTTACAAGTGTATCACCTGTATGTAAGTATATGACCTGTAGTATATTACCTGTATACAAGTGTATCACCTGTATATAAGTATATTACCTGTATACAAGTGTATCACCTGTATATAGGTATATTACCTGTACACAAGTGTATCCCCTGTATATAAGTATATTACCTGTATACAAGTGTTTCACCTGTACATAAGAATATTACCTGTACACAAGTGTATCCCCTGTATATAAGTATATTACCTGTATACAAGAGTATCACCTGTATATAAGTATCACCCCTGTATACAAGTGTATCCCCTGTATATAAGTATATTACCTGTATACAAGTGTTTCACCTGTTCATAAGTATATTACCTGTTTACAAGTGTATCACCTGTATATAAGTATATTACCTGTATACAAGTGTATCACCTGTATACAAGTGTATCCCCTGTATATAAGTATATTACCTGTATACAAGTGAATCACCTGTACATAAGTATAGTACCTGTATATGTGAGTCGTTGAGGGCTGTCCTATTGGTCTGCCAGTGAACACTGACAACAAACCAAGGAACCACCTCTGGGTAGTTAGCTGTGAGAACCACCTGGACTGTCATCTTTGCTGAAAACAAATGTAAGAAGAGTTGTTTAGTTATTGAACAATACAAAACGGATTGATGGACAAACATGATATACAAGACAGGACACACAGGGATGGATGGAGAGACATCACAGATGGATGGATAGACATGAAAAGGGGATGGATGGACAGACATACACATGAATCAATAGACAGATATGCAACACAGGGGAGAACAGACAAAGACATGATTTGCGAATAGACGACACATTACAAAAAGATGATGGACAGACATGAAAAAGGAATGATGGACAGATGTATGACATAAGAATGGATAGACAGACATGAGAGGAATAACGGACAGACGGGACACATGAACGGTATAATCCTTACCTGAACATCTCTCCACTATGGCTGTAAAATACAGATCTGACTCGCCTGCCAGGCCGGCTGTGATGGCAGGACGGGAATGGGGCAACACACTGAAGTCTTCATATGTTGACCGCTTCCATGATACCAGGTGTGCGACCATTTTTGCAGGAAACAATGGGAGGTATTCTCTTATCACTTGTACGGATCCGCGCTCTGTCATACAAATTAATTAAGATATTGGTGACATATATATGATACATATTTAACACTACTGTCTGTTTTATCGTTCTCCATATAAACCTACATAATCCTCATTGTTTCCCATACTAAACTAGAAAGCACATATAACTGTTTCCCATACTAAACTAGAAAGCACAGATAACTCTTTAACATGTTTCTATTCGCACAGATTTTTTTAGCAAGTTTTACTTAAACAGATTTTAAATATTAACTATAAATCCAATACCTAATGATGCGAGCTGTTGCAACAGAGACGTCCTTGATCTGATCCTGCGGCGAAGCAGTCTTACAGTCTGCTGCATGTGAGCTGATGAGATAGAGCTCTGAGCCTTGAGGGGGCTATCATGGTCAAGGAACTGTAGACCACCCAGCCACTGGGCCCAAAGGTATGGACGACCCAGCTCAGGAATATAGTAAGTGAAGTCTCTCAATCTGTATTAAACAAAGCAAATTACACAACTAAAGCTTTCACAAATCATTTCTTAAAAGAAACCGTATGTGCTGTAAGTACATATGAAATTTCAGAAAGATCCATCCAGTACTTGAGATACAGCGGGAACAAACTTCAAACAGAGCCCCACCCATATGCCCCTAGGGGGGTCATACCTACCAATTATACAAAATTGAGACCCCTTGGTCCAAGGATGCTCCTGACTAAATATTGAAAAAATCCCTTAATCTCGATGGTCGAAGAAGGAATTAAAAGGTTTTACCTCAATTTTCCTATTGGGCATCACTCTTCTGCCCCCTGGGAGACCACAACCACTGCATATACAAAATTGAGTCCCCTTGGCCCAGGGATGCTCCAGACTAAATTAGGATAAAATCCCTAAATCCCTATGGTAAAAGAAGGATTTTAAAGGTTTTACCTCTATTTCCCCTATTGGGCCCCGCCTCTCTGCCTCCAGGGGGGTTAGACACACCGTTTATACAAAATTGGTTCTCCTTCACCCAATGATGCTTCATACCAAATTTGGACAAAATCCTGTCATTCGTACAGAAGAGGAAGGTATTTGAAGAATTTAATATGTTTCCCCTATTGGGCCCCTCCCTTCTGTCCCCAGGGGGGGCCACACTCGCTGTTTGTACGAAATAGAGTCCCTTTTGTCCAAGGATGCTCCAGACTAAATTAGGATAAAATCCCTCAATCCAAATGGTAGATGAAGGATTATAAAGGTTTTACTTCTATTTCCCCTATTGGGCCCCACCCCTCAGGTCCCTGAGGGGCCAGACCCACGATTTATACAAAATTGGTTCCCCTTCACCCAAGGATGCTTCAGAACAAATATGGAACAAATCCTTTCATTCCTACAGAAGAAGAAGGATATTAAAGAATTCGCTATATTTCCCCTATTGGGCCCCGCCCCTCAGCCCCAAGGGTGGCCAGACCCACCGTTTATACAAAATTGGTTCTCCTTCACCTAAGGATGCTCCAAACCAAATATGGAACAAATCCTTGCATTCCTACAGAAAATTTTAAAGAATTTGCTATATTTCCCCTATTGGGCCCCGCCCCCAAGCCCCCAGGGGGGCCATACCCACCATTTATAGAAAATTGAGTCCCCTTGGCCAAAGGATGCTCCAGACTAAATTAGGATAAAATCCTTTAATCCCTACGTTAGAAGAAGGATTTTCAAGGTTTTACCTCTATTTCCCCTATTGGGCCCCGCCTCTCTGCCCCCAGGGGGGCCACACCCACTGTTTATACAAAATTGAGTCCCCTTGACCTAAGGATACTCTAGACCAAATTTAGTCAAAATCTACTAGGCCATTCAGGACTAGTAGCGTTTTAAAGGAAAAGTTGACGGACGGACGGACGGACAGAGGGACGACGCAGTATGGCATAAGCTCACCATGGTCCTTTGGACCAGGTGAGATAAAAATAATAAAGATGAAATAAAAAGCTCAACGAACTGTTTTTTGAGTGTAAAATACAACATTCCAATGCTATGTCAGTGTCAGACAGAAACACAACGTGAGTTTTTAGACAACTCCTTAACATCATTTTAAAATGCTCAATTACTGAAAGTCCCATTACTAAGACATATTATGGGTTGTCATAATGTTGATGTGTCCCATAGGAAAAGCATGAATCATTGAGAAATACATACCCCAGTCTGCGAAGCTCATACTGATTGGCTGGGTTGGGTGTTGTGTTTCCATGGTCACCTGGATAGATGTCATTAAGAACCGACTCTGCTGATAGTAGGTCACTGTGATATAAACAGAATTAGGTCGTTGTTATAACAAGTCACTGTGATGTAGATAGAAGAAATGAGAAGGCACAATTGTATGAGATAACATACTCTGATACAGTTTGCAGAATGCACCATTTATCATACTTGTATTATCAGCAACAGAAGTTCTGGTGACCCTTTTTTGGGTAAAGGAAACTGCAAAGATCAGTAAAGATGGAATATTACATGTAATATACCATAGTTGCAAGTAGAAAAGGGGAACTAACTTGTATCATATGAAGTCTGTTTAACAGGCCAAAGAAGATGCTTATATTAATATTAAGAATCAAGTTTACACATTTATGTCCCATTCCCACCTATTCGAAAGAGAATGTTTATTTCAATCCTTATATTTACATTCAAAACAGATAAGAAAAAAATGCTGTTTTTTTTTTTGGTACTTTTTGCACTTTGTACATGTTGTTAACCAAATAATGGAAACACTTAGAGAGAGTATACCAGAAAATCCCAAGCATCTATCGAATACTGATCTGGATTTCCCATCCAAATTTCAAAATTTCAACTTGACGTAATGCACGATTGGACGAACTCTGAAAGTATGACGGCAAGACTGGAACAATTTCCGCTTGAAAACATTTCACTTGACTCAGTTCTTGCTGGTATTAAATCGATACATTTTGAGGTTATATGTTTATCCACAATGTTTACAACAGAAATGTAAATACATGTTGCATACCCAGTACAGATAAGAGATTACTAGAGAGGGAAGGTGATTCTACACAGTTCATGGACATGCCTACCCGCCACTGATGGATGCTGTCACATTGTCAGGGCCAGACTGGAACTTGGTGTTAACCGTGATGATCTCTAATGACATTTGGTAGTGGAATGTGAGGTGGAGGCAACCTCCATCTCGACACTTTATTTCCATGACAACGGAAAGGGGATGGCGTTGTAGGGCACGGTTCTTTCGGTCTGATACACGGCTATCGCTGGTTTTTCTGCGTCGTTTCTGTAACAGCGATCAGACGAGCTTAGGACAAAGTCTATATTGAACTGTTACAAGGAGAATAATACATATATTTACACTACTGCTGAAGGAGATGGTTTGATAAGCTGTCAATTTTTCTTGGCTTCAATTTGTAATACACAAAATAGTAATACACCAAATTAAACCTGGCCTTGTTCGTAGCTTTCTCAATATTCAGGAGATTACTCAAGGCAAGTTAACGATACATATGCAGTATTCATGGCCAATTTTCAATGTCTTTTTTTCTTCCTTTCTTTTATATAATTTTCAGTATCAAAGATAAAGTTTTGTGAGAAAAAGGGATAAAAAAAATGTGTATCTGGTTCTCGAGATGCATTGAGTTTGATTCGTAACTAGAGCCAAATAAAGGAGAATTTCTGAAGGTATATTTCAACTAACTTGTCAAATTTCTTCAAATGAATACTATTCAGTAAAGAGTCTCAGTGCATGTTACTTGACTGAAGAAGACATAATCCAATTTAAACAGAAGAGGAAGAATTGGGTAAAGTTTCCTGATGAGAACTCAAGGCTCATAATACTGTAACTGGGTCTGGTTTCTTATCATGACTGACATGTGTACTTACAGATGATGGCTTTTCTTGGTCCTCCTGATCACTATCACTATCTTCATCTGTAAATCACATAAACAAGGAAAAAATATGAGCAGCAAGCAGATTACATTTATAACTTTATATATTGAATGAATTACCTTAGATATCTGTAACACTATAATTGTGGCTATGACGATATAAGAAATCACATCTTACCAATCTCTGTTACTGAGCTCTTTATGGACTTAGCGGCTTGTAAATCGCCGTCGATCCTGACCTCTAGATGTTTGTCTGTAATGAAGAAACAATATGTTATATATAGTAGGAGTCAAAATAAATATGTTACAGGACATGTATTTTACTAGATCTGTCATATCAGTGTCATCTCTCATAAAATTCTGTCCAATATACTTGCCATGATCTTGATTCTTAAAAACATAAATGTTGACCTTGAAAATGAATGTCTGGAAAAACATGCATTAATTTAGAAAAATAACAATTATCAATACTAGCTTTAACTATGCTCTAAAATATTAGCCACAGTAGTGAAGTACACATGAAACCCAATGTCTATTCAACCATTATATTAAGTGACCTTTGAAGCATTTGATGCCTGATTTAATTTTTTACACTGGTGTTAGGGAGCTCAAAAATATAATGCACCTTCATTCCACTAGCCTATCATACCCCTACACTGAGACTGTATAGCACTAATTCAAGTCAACTTGGTTTATATCAAGCCAATATATATCAACTGAGACTGTATACAATTAACATTGGGTCAACACCCTCCTAAACCAGGTCTATATACCACTATATTAAGTCTACCTACCACTACACCAAGACTGTATACCACTACAATGGGTCTACATATTCCTAAACTGGGTCTATTGACCACTACAGCAAGTACCACTATCCCAAGACTATATACAACCACATTGGGTCTAAATACCACTAAACTGGGTCTAAATACCTGTACACAAAGTCTACATACCACTATACTGCGTCTATATACCACTACATCAAATATACATACCACTATACTGGGTCTATATTCCACTACATCAAATCTACATACCACTATACTGGGTCTTTATACCACTACATCAAATCTACATACCCCTATACTGGGTCTATATACCACTACATCAAATCTACATACCACTATACTAGGTCTATATACCACTACATCAAATCTACACACCACTATACTGGGTCTAAATACCTGTACACAAAGTCTACATACCACTATACTGGGTCTATATACCACTACATCAAATCTACATACCACAGGCCTGTTTGTAGGCACTGGACTGCATATACAGGACGTACAGGGGGTGTGGCAGGTGACATGCTGTCTGATGCTGCTCTCTAATCTGGTCAAAAGGCATCCCAAGGTACTCCTGTACTGGCTTAGTGGACTACAACACACACACAATTGTCAACACCACAGAATGTTTTAGAATTATACCAAAGATAATTTAGGAATGTTTCGGAGACATGAATGCCAAAGTGAGCATGTGCAATTAGTTTCAATGTTTGACAACTTTCTATATCTAATAACTGTGACTGATGACCTTGTCACCCTAAAATGCAAACTCATTCAAAGGTTTTATCATATCAAAATGATAAATTCAGTTCAATATTCTTATTTTTCTGTAGATTCATTGTATAAAACTTTGCTTAAAATCTATTTAGAACTTAAACTAACAGAGCAGTGACAATTTTTTTTATTGACAGTATACGAACGAGACTTTGTGTTGAAAGAAAGAACTATTGATATATTTTCTAGAATAGCTGTAAAATATTTCCATGCACAATTCAGTTCTTGCTTCATTACTCATGTTTGTGCTAAGTTTTGGCTGTACATAACGACAAACCTGTAACACTGTGTTGAGTTTTAGCCACATGGCTGAGTTTTGGCTGTACAAAACGTCAAACCTGTAACACTGTGTTGATTGTTAGCCACAGAGCTGAGTTTTGGCTGTACATAACGACAAACATGTAACACTGTGTTGATTGTTAGCCACAGAGCTGAGTTTTGGCTATACATAATGTCAAACCTGTAACACTGTGTTGAGTGTTAGCCACAGGGCTGAGTTTTGGCTGTACATAACGTCAAACCTGTAACACTGTGTTGGGTTTTAGCCACAGAGCTGAGTTTTGGCTGTACATAACGTCAAACCTGTAACACTGTGTTGAGATTTAGTCACAGAGCTGAGGTTTGGCTGTACATAATGTCAAACATGTCACATTGTGTTGAGTTTTAGTCACAGAGCTGAGGTTTGGCTGTACATAATGACAAACCTGTAACACTGTGTTGAGTTTTAGCCACAGAGTTTTGGCTTTACATAATGTCAAACCTGTCACATTGTGTTGAGTTTTAGCCACAGAGTTTTGGCTGTACATAATGCTATACCTGTAATATTGTGTTGAGCTTCGGCTGTAGATTTTCCAAGTATTCCTGTTTTGTCTTTATTTCCTGTTCCAGCTTTTCCTTGTTGTCCTTGGCCTCCTTCAGCTTCTGGTCCAGACCTTTCCTCTGTTCCAGTTCCCAGTCAAGTCTGGCTAGAGTCCTCTGGTGGCTGTCCGACTGGGTCACCTCCTGGAGACATAAAACATTATCAATTACCTTCCTACAGACTGAAAACGATGAATCGCATTGATCAATTGATCACATATGTGGGCCCACAACTCTTTCAGTAGGTGGCAAGTATCAGGTAAACCTAGTCAAATCTACTTTCTGCATGTGACGCACAAAGGGAAACACTCTGTGTGTGTGGGTATGCAATCATGTACTGTTCATGTCCCCCATGGCAAGTGGTCAAAGGGAGACAACCATGGGTAAAAGGGTAGGCTAGGATAAGTTCAGATTAAATTGCTCCTTACACTAAGGCTGCAATTGTTTATCATGTTCCGAACGGTTGAGCTAATTGGACCAGAGTTGTTTGTTTATGAAATAAGGTCGGACCTAGTAATCTGATGCTGCTTTCAGGCAAGCCTTGACAAAGCCTTGCAAGGCCTGCATAAACATTTGCAGGTCCACCAGGATTTATGCACGAAAATGTGACATTTGAAAACAGACAAACCAGTTGACTTGATACACAAAAGGGGCCCACAACTTACCAGGTAGGATATGAAACTAAGGTAAAGAAGCTGCTAAACACACAACATGACTTACTGGACGGGATATGTCTTTAGGTGCCTCTTTATAAAATTCAGTGGTTGACACAAGCTCTATTTCCTCATCTTTAGATCTAAAATGAAGGAATTTTCACACTTTTATACAACTGTGACATGTGTTATTAAACATAAGCTCTGATTATAGAGAGCAGTTTGTATATTTAACATAAAAGTATCTTATTTAAACTTGAAACAGCACATATTTTTATTGATTAAATGAACTTCTTTGAACTTTATAGTCAAGACAACTCATTTTTCGACTGAATTCTAGGCAGCATTATCATTAAAGAAATGGTCTTACTTGAATTCTAGACAGCGTGTGATCTCCTTCTCTAGGTGCATGGTCTCGTATAGCAGGTTCTGCAGCTGTAGATGATATTGGTCTATCCTCTGTTTGGCCTACAAAACAATTTAATCTGTACAAGGGGCTCTAAAGCTGTAGATGTTATTGGTCTATCCTCAGTTTGGCCTACAAAACAATTTAACCTGTACAAGGAGCTCTAAAGCTGTAGATGATATTGGTCTATCCTCTGTTTGGCCTACAAAACAATTAACTAAAGTTCTGTAGCTGTAGATGATACTTGTCTTTTTTATGTTGGACTACCAATCAACTTAATCAGTACAGGAAGGTCTGTAGCTGTAGATGATACTTTTTTATGTTGGACTACCAATCAACTTAATCAGTACAGGAGGGTCTGTAGCTGTAGATGATACTTGTCTTTTTTATGTTGGACTACCAATCAACTTAATCAGTACAGGAAGGTCTGTAGCTGTAGATGATACTTGTCTTTTTGGATTCGCCATACAATACACATTACGATACCTTTTGTTTTATCATATGACATGTGATACATTCCACCCTCCGCAATTTTTGTTTTTTATAGGCAATTCATGAATTGCGTTATTACCCCAAAATGCCCATAGATATTCTATCTCCGAGTCCTTCCCCTAGACATTCTATCTCCGAGTCCTTCCCATAGACATTCTATCTCCGAGTCTTTCCCATAGACATTCTATGTCCGAGTCCTTCCCATAGATATTCTATCTCCGTGTCCTTCCCATAGATATTCTATCTCCGTGTCCTTCCCATAGATATTCTATCTCAAAGTCCTTCCTATGGATATTCCATCTCAGAGTCCTTCCCATGGATATTCTATCTCCGAGTCCTTCCCATGGATATTCTATCTCCGAGTCCTTCCCATAGATATTCTATCACCGAGTCCTTTCTACTGTTCTAAGCTTGAGATATAAAACTCAACTGAAGCTCTTATTATTATACCTGAGCAATGTGTTTCAAGTAAATTTGGTTAATGTAAATATCAGTCTGTTAAGTAAACCTCATAGATGTGACATTTCACAATTATGATGATCCATGTATTATGATTTATTAATTGTCAAATTGATACATGGATCATCTTTTAAGAACTGTTTCATAATACATCAATTAACCATCCCATATCTGGTATTACATGTTTGGGTATTCAATCCTAAATTAAGACAGATAGCCTTATTTGGTTAAGTGCTACAGTATGGACAACATGTTTTACAAGGATTAGACAATTAAGTTAGTTTTAGTTCCAATATGGTCCCTGGTTTATAGGTGAAATCAACATCTGGGATGTTTATTTCAGATTGAACAGTAATATTTCATTCATACCTGAAATCAGAGAGTTCATAACATATATATATTAAAACAAAATAAATATTGACATCTCCTTTTTTTTCTTATAAGTTTGCTATTTACCTCACTGGTAGCATCCCGTACTTTCTTACATCGCACATGAGCCAAGCGGTTCAGTTTTTTCAGGACAACAAATTGAAGCGTAGCATTTATCTTCTTTTCTTCAATTTCTTCAGACTGCAATAATAGAATGGTTTGCCAGAAATTATGGGTCATAATTCAATTATAAGGCAAAAATAAAAAAATAAAAACTGATATTATCAATCTGATATAAAGGGGAAGAATGAGATTCTTTTCATATTTTATTATATTTTCCTCAACATAGATTCTTTCAAGTCCATCATTACAACCTGATGTGTACGTTTTGCAATCAAATCACTCAAAACCCGAAAGTGTTTACCAAGACTGACATACATTTGGATGAGATTTTCACACTGTATCAATTACCCTTTTTACATGTGATTGTCAGTAAAGAGACCCAAGCTTTCCTGAAACTTTTTTATAGCAAAATAGCTCGTTTTCTGAAGATCAGCTGCACTGAAAAAAACATCAGAGATTTTATTTCACAAGAAGTAATGTAGCTATGCAGCTTGAACTTACATTGTCTTTGCCCTTTTTTTCCTTTAGTTTCCTTATCTCAGTCATTGCTGTTCTTATTTCTTCACATGTTTTGCCGAAGGTTGTAAGGTCATTCTGGGGGTCATGGCTATCAACCTCCTCCTCTTCAGCATAGAAAAGACCACTCTTGCTTTCCTGTAGCAAAACAATAACAACAAAATATTATTAACTGTACACTCACATAACTAACCAATGGAGTAGTAAGGGACTGACATTTTACACAAAATTAGGTTTAACACTTTATAGATATGAAATTGGCTGATAATTGATGATCATGTGTAGCAATAGAGGGTTTCAAAGATTGAGAATAGTTTAACTTACTTATTAAGTACAGTCAAACTTACATAAATCGAACTTCGATAATTCGAACTTCTCGATGTGTCACATTTACGACAAAGTCCAGAATTGTTCCCCTATATAACACTAATAATATTCTTTTTATGTATCAAACTTTATAAGTCAAATTTATCACTGTTCGAAGTAAAATCAAGGCCCAATCTTCATTAAAACATTGAAAATTACAACTAATAAATCAAAGTGAAATGTTCACGTATTCCAAACATTGAAATATCATGTGGCAATTTTAACAAATCAAATTTCTTAGTCTGTGTTTCGTCGCATATTTAAAGAATCATCTTTTGTCTTATTTACAGGATGTCGATGTTCAATATTCTGAGTCGATGTCCTGATGTTTTTCCATATGGTCCCACAAAGTTTGAAACATTGAAGTTTGACTGTATATAAACTGATCAATTTCTTTAAAAGGTTAGAGAATGGCTTTTTCTCTTACCCTTGACAGGTGTATCCGCATTTTTACCGGTGTGAGATTTCCTTTGTCTCACCCTAGGGTTGAGACGGGGGGGGATTCCCCTATTCATAACAATGGTATGACGTCACTTCAACAATACAATGACATCATATCAACCCTAAATTTAGCATGCGACGTTATCATTACACTGTGTTCATGATACACAATGGGAGAACAGGGTAAGAGAAAAAGAATCATTCAGCTCCTTGTGGGTGAGATAGGGAAATCTTCCCCCTCGATTCAATTATTCTTGGTGCTATATACCAACTTTTGCTTAATGCTGTTTACCATTAACATAAGGACTGTAATAAAATTATTCAAAAATTGTGAAATTCACTTGAATTATGAAACTTTAAACAGTCTAAACTTTAGGGTTTAACAGCTACAAACAGTGACTGACAGGCGGTAAACGATGTTGACAGTTCCCTAAGTATGGAAATTTCTTTCAATCACTTCTGGCTTACAGAAAAAAACAAAATCTGCTTGTTTTACTATATCTGTTCTATGTCAGATTAGCTGTCTACTTCTCAGACTCATCTAATCAAACCAAATCTCAAAAACACTCATTTGCTCTACCTTTCAAACACTCATCATCATGTAAAAACTTCCATAAGAAAGAAAAAGTTTTCTGAGAACCAAACCACAAGGGATGTCCTACAGGAGCATATTGGTTGACCAGTTTCTGAGCCCTTACAGCAAAATTGCTGAATAAAAACATCAGAGCAAAATAAAACCTGATAGTGCTTCATGTTGTGTCAACAATGTTTAGTCTACCGTACTTTTACCTGGGGAGTCAGTTTGTAATCACTTCCTTTACATATCTACAATGGTAACTAGTCCATCCTGTCGTCATCAATGAACGAAGCCATTACATGCCTAGTTTCTGTGCCTGTCTTTATGTAGCACAAACTATATGTTCTGCAATACAGTTACTGCTAAAGATTAAGGACATTTATTGGGAAAGAATGTTTACAAAATTAATTCATCTTTTAAATCTACTCTATTTTGAATGATAATGGAATGTTTTACACAGGATATACTTACAATTACTTAGAATAAAGAAGGATATATATGGGGAAAAAACATTTTTGGTGTTGATATATAGGTGGAGGAACCAGACCACTTTTGTTAAGCAGAGGATAATGAATTATGCCATATATAATTTTTATAAAAAAAATTAACATTACCAAGTGTTTTTCTTTTATACACAGATACACAGATTTATTCTGACTGTAGGAAATTGTACAATTTCCTCTGCTGTCAGCTCAATTATAAAAGTTACAATAGTACATATAGTTGGTTAAACATATTAATAACATGATTTCTGAGTTTTTTTTGCGAGTCCATTACAGATAGCTGCACAGTTCCATAGAGAACAGATGTTCATTGATAAGTTATTATATTACAGTAACATTGTGAATTGAATAAGTGTGGTTCAAAAATAAAAATGTTGGTACGTATATGGGTGTCTCTTGTATATTGCAATTTTTAAATGTTCAAATGTGATATTTTCGTTAAAGTTCAATCAATGACCATTAGTATGTGTGACTTCGTTGGGTTCCCTGTGGTTATACGCAAGTGGTCGGTTCTTCCAATGACGGTCAAAGCTATGTTCAAATGCTCAGACTGTTCGTGGCATTACGACCTCCGATGGCAGGCCGTTCCATATATCCACGGTTCGGTGAAGGAATGAATGTTTCCGGATATTCAGGCGCGTTCTTAGTTTGAATAATTTGAGTTTGTGTCCTCTGGTGGTGGTGGTGTTCTTGTTAGGTGTGATGAAAGTCGACACCTCGGGATCATACTTCTCGGTCATGATTTTGTATAGTTCTATCATGTCTCCTCTGGCTCTTCGATATGCCAATGTTGGTAATTTCAGGCGTTGAAGTATCTCGGGGTAGGATAGATGAGCCATTCCAGGTATAAGCTTGGTAGCTCTCCTTTGTACATTTTCTATCGATTCTATCTGTTTAATGAGATGGGGGCTCCAGACTTGGTTGGCATACTCTAGATGTGGTCTCACGAGTCCTTTGTATAAAGCTGTGAATGTTGTCAGATCCATGTATTCCATAGTACGCCTTATTACACCCATTATAGAGTTGGCTTTGTTGATTTTTTCAGATATATGTACATTAAATGCTAATTTATTGTCAATGGTGACTCCAATATCTTTCTCATGTTCTGTATAGGGAAGTTCCTTTCCATCATCTAGGTTGTAGGTGAAGTTGTCAATATCACTGTTGCCAATTCGCATTGCTTTGCATTTGTCTGGGTGGAAAAATAGAATCCACTTTTTGTTCCATGATTGAGCTTTCTGCAGGTCTTCCTGTAGGCCCTCGCAATCTTGGGTGTTAAATATAGCACAGTAAAATTTTGTTACATCTGCGAAAAGGTATGTGTTGGTTTCCGTACTTGTTATATTCGGGAGGTCATTTATGTACAGGACAAATAAGACTGGTCCTAGGACAGGTCCTTGTGGAATACCACTGCTCATGATCACCTCCTTCCAACATGACGTGTCTCCATTTATTGTTACGCATTGTTTGCGATTTAGAAGAAAGGCCTTAATCCAGCTCGTGATTTTACCCGTAAATCTGTACATGCTCATTTTATGGACCAGTCGGTGGTGAGGGACCTTGTCAAATGCTTTCATAAAGTCACAGTACAGCACATCAATGCATTCTCCTGCATCAAGAATTTTCATCCAGTGGTCAATTACTTGAATTAATTGTAATACAGTGGATCTTCCTTGGATAAACCCAAATTGTTTCTTGCTGAATAATTTATTGGTATGCATGTATCTGATTATTGTTTCTCTTACAATCGTTTCTAATACTTTGCAACATATACACGTTAAACTGATGGGTCTATAGTTACTGGCCGATTTACGATCTCCTTCTTGAAAATGGCGGTGACACTTGCTTGTCTCCATTCTTCGGAAACTGTTCCATTGTGTATTGAAATGTTAAAAATAACTGACAATGGCAGACAAATAGCAGAGCTCAGTTCCTTTAGCACTCGCAGGTGAAGGTTGTCTGGGTCTGGGGACTTTGATGTTTTGAGCTTTATTGTATTGTATTCTTATAATGCCCCAAATCCCTCGCAGATTTAAGCTATGTGTGTAGTTTCATTAACCAAGGAATCAATGACGTTAACAAACTTACAAGTGGTACAGAAACAAGTCATTCGACGATACCCCTCCAAACTTTGCCACTAAAATGTGTTTCCACTCCCCTCTTTCAAAACATTTCTGACTAACAAAGCCTGATAGCTTATATTTTCCTCGGCTCTGCTTATTTTTTCAAACATGTAAATTATTCACTTTGTTGATGCAGGTGCAAAATAGAAATGTAAGAGATGATTACCAATCCGTAGTACAGTAACCTTTCCCCTCGCGTTCTAACCAACAATTTATCTAAAGCAGATCGAATACCTTGACAGTAACGTCAGTTTTTATCCTCTTGCTATCTCCTGACGCTGCCAATGACGTGGGCTCCTTTCTTATTGTTCTTTTCCTCTTTATTTCGGGCTTCGTCGGCTCATCTTTGCTGGCCATGGCGCCGGAAGTTGCTAACAAATTTTAAAAGATCACACAAACGCTTTTTGTAGTAAAGCTTTTTCAATTTCCAAGAAAGCGCTCAAATAACAATGATCATCATTCTGTCGTAGTCTGCAATCAAAACCAGCAAATTGCCGTAAAAAGTCATGGATTGCTGCATAAAGAATGAAATTAAAACGAACGCCGAAAATACAAAACTATCAACTATTACATTTATTTTATATACGAGTTAGGTTCCTCACAAAAGTATTCATTTAACCTAACGAGTTATTCCCCTTTATGCACAAGGCCTCTTCTACTTCTACTTTGTATTGTAGTGACCGCCTTCTATTCAACACGCTAAGGTTTATGTCACTTAGACTACGCCTGACTTGGCGGAACAATATTTACAGTAAAAAAAAAATTAAAATAGTTTACCTAGGTGATGCTTTTAACTGCAATTTAATGTCCCCCCAGCGGAATCGTCTTTTCCGGTAGTCTGGGCCGGCACATACTGAAAGTATGGGATCTCACGATTGAAACTGTTAACTGTGCAAAACTGGTACTAGGTGTTTTTATCGATAGTTGTCTCTCATGGAAAGAGCATATTAAATATCTAAGTCCGTGATATTACAAAGAAAATATCCAAAAACATTGGTGTGTTAAGAAGGCTAAGGTCATTTATGTCAAATCAGAGACGTATAATACATTATACGTCTCTGGCCAAATGATGTTATTACGAAAGTGTACAGCAGTATTGTTTTTCCTCATTTTATGCACTGTTCACCTGTCTGGAGTGAACCTAGCAACAAATTATATATATGTAGGATTAAAATTACAGAAAAGAGCAGCCAGGATATTGCTAAATGTTAGAGATACTCCCTCTTTGAAAAATTAAAATGGATGCCAATACATGTTTTTAGAAAAATAGTTTTTTGTTATAATTTTTTACATTGTGAATCACCAGGTATTTTAGCAAATATGTTTCTTATGTGAAAAATGTTAATGGAAGAACAACTAGAGCTTCTGTATCAAACAAACTGTATGTTCCAACTGCCAGCACCAATTATCTCAAACGGTCATTTGTATATGTACATGTTCAATCTTATGGAACGAAGCTAGTGATACATTTAGAGACTCAGGTTTAGTTTTATTATATCCAAATGCAAAACAGCATATAGGTTACAAACATACATAATTAAATTATTCAAAATTCATATGTGATGTACAAGATGGCGGAGGACAATTCCATTCAAATATATATATGTACAGACATGTAATAATGATGTCACTTGCAGTTTTACAGCATGATTTTTCGTAAAGTTGTGAAAAGGACTGTATATAACAATATAATTATATGTGACGTCATGAAAGGATGACATCATAATGAAAACACTACATATAACTTCAAACAGCCAGAAAGAACCATGGGATGTCATTAAAGTACTATTTAACGCGCTATTAACGAATATTAAATAACTGTTATTATACATGTACACTTATAACAAAGTAGTTTCAAATAACGTTTTTATATAATATCACTACTGAGCGAGGAGAATTTTCCTTTTAGCGGTAGCGTGCCACAAATATTCACCCAGACTATTTAAAGATTTAACACTTTTACAGGTAAATAATTTTATTAGTTTATAGACACTTGGATGTCGATAATAATACTGTTTGATGTATGTTTTTCTTAAATCAGAATATGCGAACAAAGAAGTACAAAATGTACTTCATCTTCGACATCATTTTTATCGCAGACTGTACATATTCTCTGACCTCTTGGAATGTTATTATAGCGCCCAGATTCTATGTTAAGACTGTGTGCTTGCATGCGAAACTGACTCAATAACTTTTTTATCCTTATATTAATGGGCCTAGTCAGATAGAACTGGATGCAAAAGGTATCAACAAGATGCTTGTACAAATAACATTTTGAAGATCCATCAAAAGCACTGCGTAATTCTTGAATAAATTCATCATGAACACGTTGAGCATACATTTGCAAAAAAAAGGTTTTCATTTTGTACATATTGGCAAGTCCAAATATAATTAAAACCCAAACTACATAGTTCATGCTTAATTTGATAAACCCAATTAATTTTACAATTAGTTTTTATGATATTCAATTCGACTAATGCGTCGTAACATGATTTTAAAACACAGTTACTAGTATTTAGAAATTTTAACCAATACCTCATTATGGCCATTTTACGTTGCACATATAATGAATATCTCCCAGTTTCAAAGTAAACCATAGAAGTATTGACAGTTTTCCTTTAACATTTAATAGCTAGGTCTTTGAGAAAAAGGAGATGGATTTTTTCAATTTGTGGCGATACATTATGCTCCCAAACTTCACACCCATAATTCAATATACATGCAACATATGTATCGAATAAAGACATTTTAGTTTCCGTGTTAAGGGCAAAATGTTTCATTTTAATTTTTAAGTGGTAATATGCTTTCCGTCCATGACAAGCTAATGTATCTTGTGTTACAGTAAAACTTCCATTATAATTAAAACTAATCCAAGATAACAAAACTTATCAACAATTTCGATATATTTACCATTGAAAGTCAGGTAGTGTTGGGTTTTTTAAAAGCAGATACCTGCAATTTAGCTTAGCTATATACAGCCGTATCTTTTATATATGTACTACAACTAGTCGCAAGTTTCAATTTCTAAACATTTCTTTTATAATATTCAATCTATTGTATGAATAGCATACAGCTGTATCTGTGATTATCTCCCTTATATTGGTATTTTGATATAGGTGTAGAGTTTCCTACATCTTGTTTCTAGCTAAAGGCAAATGTCTAAATTACTTTTACACCACCGACCTCATTGTCTCATTTGAATACACACTATATTAGTGTATATCTTGTCATTATTTACCTTGTGCTATATTAGCGACTATAATAGTGCTTTAACCATGTCATTTAGTAACACTTGTGTGATATGCAAGTGTTCACTATTTAATCATATTTTCAGAATTGCTAAATTTTAAGTTACATTGACTGTGATGTTACTATATTTACTACATTGTTATACTGTTCGTATATTTCATGCAGGGCCATATTGTAAACTAGACATTGTCTAAATATGTAGCCCTGGTTAAATAAAAAAAAAATGAAGAAATATTATACTGTATTTCCTAAAATCCCCTTGTGGACTTAAATAGCGCTATACGCTATAAAGTTTCCTTTCCAACACTTCATAGACATATTGTTGTTTTTAATGGAAAAAGTAAGGTCTATCTTAAATCTGTTCAAACATAGATATTAAAATATTAGGGAAAAGAGAATCATCCAACCGTGAGGGTATGTCGGAGAAATATCAATCCTCGGGGCGAAATTCTGGAATGTCTAACTTTCGGTTCGAAGCAATCGGCCGCTAAGGGTTGATCTTTTCGAAGTGCATACAGTTAAATTGTCTTTTCATTGTTTCTGAATTAATCATGGTGATTGGAATGGGAGAAATATACTGTTTTATGCCCAAGATTGTATGAAAGGGAAAACAGGGCCGCCCTCGGGATTTCCAAATTGGGATAAAACTGTCGAAAAAGCCTCAAGTTTTCTACAACTTTAAACTCCACAAATGGTATCTCCGTATCCTACTACCCCCTGGATATGACTGTAAGATACTTTAAATCTTGGAAATGTGCTATACATTTTTACAATGCATTTTACCTAATCAGGTATACGCGAATTTTGCCAACTTCTAGTAAATTGTTATTTTTAGAGTGTCTGTCAGAGTGATACATTTTCTCTTAAATGTGAATCATAAGGATACAGACTGATAGACCTGTGATGAGAAGTATGTAAATGTGAATCATAAGGATACAGACTGATAGACCTGTAAATGTGGATTGTCAATTGTACCACGGAATTAGATCAGGTCTTGATTGTACAAATCAGACAGCAACGTCCAGCAACTGTAGGTTTCGCGCTATATTTTATAATTACATTTTTTTTTTATGATTCAATCTTTTATTTAAAGCAATTTGTTCCCTTTATAATCAAAGTCGTAAAGTACCTTCTAGGTTGTATGAAGTTGTATGCGTCACCGGAAGTAATCAATCTAAAAGCAAGCCTAAGGCTAGGCCTAATATATCGGAGTCAACACAAAAACAATTTAAATTTCAGGATTTAGGAATTTAAGAATAAGTAAAAGTTGAATAAATTACACGACTTTTGCTAATACCTATATTTTCGTTTTCAAGAACTTTGGGTCATTTAGAATTATAATCTAATTCCGTTGCTGTATAGAAAAGATAGAAGTATTAGCGGCGAACAATCGGAACAAAACGTCGAGGCAGATGAGTCTGGTAGATGATTAACATCTTACGCCATAAGAGGACAGCGCTATTGTTCGTGCGTGGTATTTCAGTAAACTAAATTAAGTCTTTAGCCTAACTATTCGTATTTACAAAATTACACGAACAAATATAATGAAATTCAGATTTTAATGGTTTGGGCAGAGACATAGTAAACATGTATATATATGTCTCTAGTTTGGGAAAACCGGAAATGATTATCCTTCGAGAGACACATTCGGTGACGTAATGTCGACTGTTTGTCAGTTGTCAATAAACTGTTTAATCATTGACTTTTTATTGTGAGTGTATCTGAAATCAAGAAAAGAAAACCTTATATGAAGCTGGGTGGCGCGCACGTTGCCTTACAAGTTAGTTTTACACACAGCTAATGTTAGGTAAAGCTATGGCAATTTGACGCGTGCCACATGACCCGGAAACAATCATAAGCATATCCATCTGTCCCGCGAGCAGCGCGAGGTAAACAGGCGCACATGGTGGGAGCTAGCAGACGGCCCGCCGACCGCCGCCGTGTGTACATATATATATATTACTTATGGTGGTGTACAATGCCAGGCTACACATGGACATTTGTGGACCGCCCTCGGAGAAAGTGTATCTGTCCCTTGTGTCGTCTGCCGGTGAGGGAGGCTGTTAGGGTGTCCTCGTGCGGCCACACCTTCTGTGACATCTGTCTCCAGGAGTTCCTCAGGTAAGTCACAATACCTACACCACTACCTACATAACACACTGGTCTTTATTGGTCTATGTAACACTATATCCTTTTACTCGACAAGACTTATCATTTCTCTGTGACAGCTAACAGCAGACCCAGGTGGCATCATATCGAACCAAAGAACTGACAGAGTCAAAACAGAAGGATTTTTTGTTTTTTTTACTACAGTGAGCAGACAAACACTAATGACATCAGTTTTACCATGGAATTAGATAATCAACGTCTGTGGTTATATTAATAAAACTTCATTCTAATAAAATGATATTTATAATGATTTCCGTGTTGTCACTGTCGGCAATATAGTGTAAAATCAATCAAATTACACTCACGTTTCCCAGTATTAGTACTAACATAGTGTCTGTATCAGCAACAGATCATCTGTATCAGTTTAATTGTGTTTTATCATGTACAACATTATGTACTCTATGACCGACTATTTTGCCAGTACTTTGGGTATGTGAAGGGTGTATATCTGATGACTAGGTTTCAGACACCATACCTGTACAATGTTAACCTGTAACATTGATATAACACCTTAACATTTTTGTGGTTTGGATAGGGTCAAGTCCTTTCTAGGGTTTTATCATGAAATGATAACGTATAATCGTTGACATAGGTATACATATACATGTAGATTTATATAGATATTATAGACATAAATAGGTACTTTGTATATTATCATATAGACAGCTATGTGATATGTGAGGGTATACTTCAGACTTTTATTTTTTAAAGACAGTGACAGCTTGTAGACTGGAAATGTGAGTTTGCTAGCATGAAGATAAAAATATGTCCACTTCTTTCCTTTTAAAGAAAGTAATATTTTGTTTGAACAGAGCCAGGTAAATATACAGGATGACTTCAACACTAGGTCAGACAGACATCTCTCCCTGGGGTACAAAAATAGCCGTGTTGTAATTCCCTGGTGTCAGATGTATGTTGAAGTGACACACATTCTGTTTACATTGCTGGAGATATACAGTAGCTATAGCCTTAAACGATTATAGGTATTTAACACACTGTTATACATATTTTATCGCAGTATCAATTAGGTTTTTGGTTTAGGCTTGTTTACATGGAGTAGTGAATGTATTTTACCAGCTGCAATTACCTGGGATGCAGAATAACGACCATCATTATCTGGGATGCAGAATAACGACCATCATTACCTGATGTTGTGGTGTATTAGAATACTGTGTATCATTCCACTGTATAGGCAGGTTAGATCAATATTATAAGGCTAATACCATCCCTGCATGCATTCCCATTCAGGAATGTTCCCAACCTTCTCTTTTAATGAAAGTTGTTTCCATGGTAACAAAAATTATCCCCAAATGAAATTATTATTGTAATGAAGACCATCTCATTAGAGAGATATATGGTTGCCATGGCCATCTGCCTACAAGAAGCTGCTGCATCTATAGGGAGGGTTGGGGGGTCCGATGTAAGGAAGTGGTATGTTTTCCATCAGTAGAGATAATAAGAAACTTCCTGTTTGCCCAATTAGACAGGTTTGGAAGTGCTTTTTTGTTTCATAAAATAGATGAAAACAAAGAAAAATACACATTTATATCTGCATGTGTCAATTATAAATGAATTCTAGCTAAGATGTAACATATTTTAGTTCCTGATATTAGCCCAAGAGTTTAGAATTGTCTGCTGGATATCATGGCATGATTCTTTAATTTGATTACGGTATAGAGACAACTCTACAAACACTAGGTTAGATTGCTTTGTGAAGGTCCTATAGGTCTACCTAGCTGTAAATGTAGTGGAACATTTCCTTAGATCTTATTAGTCTACCCAGATATAAAATTGGGTACTAGCATGTGTGGGAAATCAGTGGAATAGTGAAAAAAAGGGAGCAGTGTTTGCATGGATACACATCACTGACATCATCATTTCTAACCTGAAGGAGACACAGGACGGTTCAGTAGCTTTACTAACTTATAGCCGAAACTGCAATACTGTGGGATTATTTACGCATTTAAATACCTGAATCATTTTGATTGCTTTTATTAAAAAGAAACACCCAGTGAATTATGGTAGCATTATGATTTGAATGAGATGAAGGTAAGATGTATATGGTGTGCTTGTGAAGTATACAGATGGTATTATCACCCAAACTCAATAACCCTGTGTTTATAGATCCGAGACAGCCACTACTCAACTGATTTTAGTGTCATTATTACGATTGACTGACAAAGAAGATAAGCAAATCAATAAAGATATTTTCATCTCGAAGTGTTGCTAATTCAATCAGCATATTTCTCTTGCTCACAAATTATATTTACTGTGGAAAAAAAGCTTGTTAATTTAGATTAATTAGTTTCTGTGCAAAACAATCAATTTGAAAGATAAAGTTGTCCTATCTAGTTAATTAAATAAGCATCTGTAATTTCTCCAGATATCACTCGGATTCCTGACTTTTGAGGTTCTAGTGTATTGCAATGTTTATAGTATTACATACATATGTTTGCATTGTAAAGAATGTGCAGTGTGACAAGGTGACAACATACTTTATAGATGTTTAGCTGTTATGTTAGGGTTTGCTTTAGACAGGTGTTAATTCATGCCCTTGAGTGATGGTATACTTTACACAAGTTTCTGTGAGTTTGTATGATTTTTAGACAGGTAGTGTGAAGTGGCCTAGGAGATTTTATCCTTTACACTAATTCCCATGTGTGTTAAGGGTTCAGTATACAGGTAGTGCTTTGTGATGTGGGAGGTCAGTGATGTAGGGTTCAGATTGGACAGGTAGTTCTATGTGATGTAGGAATTGGTTTCTTTGTGTGGGTGTGTTTGTCTGTGTAGGATTAAGATTGGACAGGTAGTTCTATGTGATGTAGGAATTGGTTTCTTTGTGTGTGTGTGTGTGTGTGTTTGTCTGTGTAGGGGTCAGATTGGACAGGTAGTTCTATGTGATGTAGGAATTGGTTTCTTTGTGCGGGTGTGTGTGGGTGTGTTTGTCTGTGTAGGGTTCAGATTGGACAGGTACTTCTATGTGATGTAGGAATTGGTTTCTTTGTGTGGGTATGTGTGTGTGTGTTTGTCTGTGTAGGGTTCAGATTGGACAGGTAGTTCTGTGTGATGAGAGAATTATATGGTATTAGTGTCTGTGTGTTTGGAGGGTTCGGTTTAGACAGGTAGTTGTGTGTTACATGGGGAAAAGGTAGGTTTCTTTGTGAGTTCTGTGTGATGTAGGTAGTAGTAGGGTTAGGGTAATTGGTGTAGCGTTCTGTTTAGACAGGTAGTTCTGTTTGTGTAGGATTCTGTTTAGACAGGTTGTTCTGTGTGATGTGTGACAGGTAAGTTTCTGTCTGTGTGAATGATAGGGTTCAATTTTGACAGGCAGTTCTGTGTGATGTGAGAATTATATTTTAAGTGTCTGTGTGTTTGTAATGTTCGGTTTAGACAGGTAATTGTGTGTGATGTGGGAAATGTTAAATTTCTCTGTGTGTTCTGTGTGACATGGGTAATAGTACATTTCTTTATGTGTAGGGTTCAGTTTAGACAGGTACAAAGAAGTGATGTACCTCAGTTATTATACATGGATACAGCTTGAGTATATATCAGGTAGGGCTATATACCCATTGAGAGTCACATATCTGTGATGTTGTAATGATATGTCAGATACCAACTGTGTATAATCCAGGAAAAACCAAAAACTAAAATAAATCAGTTTACTGTCTCTCATTCTTACCAAATTTAAAATGTTGTAATAATCTGAATCCCTTCCTTATTGAATATATCTATAAACAAAATTACCTGTACTTACTTACCTCCTTTGACATACAGCTGTAAATAACCCCTGTTTTGCTGAGGTAATTGTTGACTGTGTATCGGTAATAGGTTTGGGATGTGACCTAGCGTCTGCCATTAATAGTCGTTAGCACTTCAGCAATTCATCGTTTATCTGATTTCACTTTTGATGATTATTTTTTCGGTCAGATTGATTTTAAATGTATAATGTTTTTTTTTGATTCAGTCCTATTATAGAAGTCCTGTATCATCACCCAGATGACAGAAAGAAATCTCTCATTTTTTTCCCGAATATTCATTTTGTGTTTCTCTTTACAAGTTGTCACATTTTCCTGAAATGTAAATATCCTGGGCACATAATGGCCGTAATTAATCAGTTTTATTTATATGGTGGAGACAATTACTCAGGTTTTTCGTTGGGGAAGTCATCACCTTCAACTAATATACAGACACTGCGTATTAGAAAACATGATATATTAAAACCCTTTTCCCTGTACTTAAATAGAATCTTACGTACGTAAATCAAATAACTAGTCCAACTTGGTCTTTGTAGTAGATAATGGATCAGACTTCATCTGGGGATTTCTTAATGTTTGAATTTTATAAATTTACAGTCTGCTTTCATTACAGTATAAGGTACATATATCTTTGACAGAAAAAACACTATTTATGCCTAGTTTTGGAGGAAATTGCGTTACTGTATTATTTTTTTATATGATAACAGGTGTAAACTGAATGTATTGTCATCATACTTCTATATGTTGAGGAGTACAAAGAAATATTTATATATATATATTAATAACAATCTGTAAGCAACACTCATTTTAATCCTCAATGGAGAGGAAGAGAAAACTACTAACAAGCTCTAAGGTCAGATTAGTGTGCACAACTTTCTGTAAAACAAAATATCATTTTATATCGCAGGGAAAATCTGAGGTAACTATTTCTTTCACTGACGGAACAGTTCGTTCCAAGACAATTAACACTTACAATAAAGGACATTATTCTTCATTATCATGTCATCGTTGTTGTGGAGGGGGAGGGGGGGTTATCTGACATACAACACTGCTTTTGTAGAGAGTCACAGAATTTTACCAAATAGATTTGTGCATTATAGATTAGGTGTTGTTTATACTAAACAGACACGGTTACAAGACAAAGAATGGACTTATCGCTGTCAACCTAGTTTCTATTATCTAGAATTTGATGTCAGT